CTTGGAAAGGGACGGGGGTAACGAGTGAAGTTCCACGGGTGGCAGGAGGACAGCACGCCGTTCCCTCCCTCCCTGACGGGGCAAGCCCGGAACGGAGACCCGGGGTCTTGTTTAATAAACATTCCCTCCGTGTCCGGCCAGAGCCTGGCCGGGTTACAGAGAGCAGCGTGTAGGGGAGAGGAACTTCCCTGCTGGTTTAGCTCTTAATTTTCGTTATTCGAAGGAGAAGGGTGGCGGGGCGCGGTTTCGCCTGACGTGGATGCGTTTACGCCACCTGCTGCACCTGAAGCGCCGCAGATCGGCACCCTGTGACCGGGCAAACCCGGTCGGTTTTCGCTCTTTTCAGGCGGAACGAGGTTCGGTTTTGGTCCTTATTTACTCTTGTTGCTGTAGCCCTTGGGTCCCTGTCGAGGCCCGTGTCAGGGTAGGCAGGGCCACTGCGGAGGCCCCCGCTCAGGCAGTTAGAGAGGCTTTTTCTTCTGGTTTTAAGTAGTTTTCTCTTCTGACCACGGTCAGGGTTTATAATAGGAAAGGAGAACGCGGTGGGCTGCTTGATAGTGCTGACGTGGTTTGTCGTTGTAGCGTTAGTTTCTTTTTAAGCTGTCCCTTCGTGAAACATCTGTGCGGTGACAGGTTTTTCTCTCTGGAATCTTACTGTTTTCTGCTGTGAAGTGAGGCAAAGACTCTCTAGTGGGAAGAACTGGGGAAAAATAGTAAGTCAGAAGGAAAAAGAGTGCTCACCAACTCAAGTAAATCAATAGCTCTTGTATTAAAACATATTTTCATTACTGTGATTACTGACAATTTGAAACAGCCCTATGTTAGAACCAAAAGCAGGATTGAAATTAAGTTTGTGCAATTTGTCGTCACAGTGAAAGAAAATGGAAATTTGAAAAAGCATGGTTGTAGGAAAAGAGGCGGATAAAATGCCTTTTATCACGGAGGAGTGAGTGACTGGGGTAATTGGGAGTTCTTACAGACCTGTATGGAAATGGGCAAATGGGAAAAAAATAAATACTGTTAACAGCAGGGGGTATAATTCACTTTACAAACCCAAGAAATTATTTAAGCAGTTATTACTCTTGTGTATTTAGACTTTGTATAGGAGTAATTGAACTGTCAAATAGGTGTGACAGTGACATTTCTCCAAAGTTACTGTACTACAATTCAGTAACAACGCCCCAGTTATGATTGAAAAAACAACAAGCCAGTTCACTTTTTGAATCATCAGGATAGCTTAGGACACAGGGCGCAAGGCGATGGTAAAACATGTTTCCCAGTACTCTATAACTTTTGTGATACAAGTTGCTTTGTTGTTGCTTTGTTTTTAATACACTTGAATATAGTCATATTGGGCAAGATCCTTACCTTGTGTCAGGTAGCATTGCTATATTGAAAGCAGTGGCATTTTTTTTTTTTTACAGCATCTCATTTATATTTCTTTCAGTAAAATGTTGTTTTTGAAACTGTAGTCAAAGCATGGTTGTTTAATAGAAGGTGTTTAACAGAAGTACTGTTTTTCCTTTCCAACTGTCACAGGCTTAACAACTCACTGTAGTATAAAGTAAATAATACACATTCTGAACCAGGTAACTTCTTTGTTCAGAGTGTGCTCTTGCAGTGTAGCAATTTGCACTTTGATTAATAACCCACTTTTAATGTAATACATATAACCATTTGTAATCCTTAAATGTGGATGGCTTCTACTATGATAGACAGGCTTCTCTCATGCTCTGAGAGACCTTGATGTTCCAGCAGGGCTTTAGCTTTTTGACATCTTTATATTCGATTAAAATACAGCAACCTCATTGGAGCAGCGGTTGCTATAAAAGGGTCTAAACCATCATTTTTCACTTTTGTTGTACATGAGGAGTGAATAACTCTGGCTAACTCTGAGGCTTCACAAACATAGTAATGCCTTCACTTTATAATTTTTTTTCCTAAACTTTGTTCATTTTTTGTGGTCTTCACAGGTGAAAGTCATAAAATCAGCCTGAAGTGTTGATAGCCACATAAAAGTATTTATTTTCTTACTGAAATCTTTGCTACTTTAATTGAAATGTAAAATGATATGCTACAAATTTACTTTGCATTATGTGCCAGAATTTACTGGCAGTAATCAACAGACATTTAATACAGAGCTACTGTAGAGTACTGTAAGAATATGCACGCATAATTTAAATGAACATCAAACTTTGACATAAATGAAAAGGAAAAAAAAATCTTACATCACGCAGACAAAACAAACAGACATGTTCTTCTATCTTATAACAACTAAGGTGTCAAAACAGATAGGTTGTTGAGGAAACACGTGTCTTCCTTTAATAGATGAGGTGGAATTAAAACACCTGCAAATTACTGCCGTGGGTATGCTGAGAAGACAAGCTGCAAGGCTGTCATTCCCAGAAGTACAACTTTTTATGGTGGTATTTTGGGGAATTGGAGATAAAAGTGTCAGTGCCCAGAGAGGTGTATAGAGAGGTGGAGGAAATCCTCAGCCTGCTCTTCAGTTTTGGCATGCTATAGAAGTTTTGCTTGGTTTTGCCTCCGAACACAGAGAGAAATAGATAAAACCAGACAATGTCTTGGGTTGGTTTTTTTTTTTTGAAGTGTAAGGGTTTAGTCTTTGGGAAGCAGTTTTTAACTTTTTGTTTGTTTCGGTTTATGACACAACAAGTAAATCAATGTTTGATAGTAATGCACATGTTATAAATATCACTGTAATTGGTAGTTGATGTATTTTTAGTATGAAATATTGACTGCCCAGTGTTTGCTCAGTTACGTGTATGCAGACATATCTATCTGTGAGAATACAGAAGAGGCAGAGTTTATCAGGTTCTGTTAGTATGGCAAAGGGATTGTTTCAATGGCCTAAAACATAACAAGTATTAAAAGACTACTGATAGGATCTCCAAGAAATGGGGAAAAAAAAGAGTGTCGGATTATATACAGTATTCCCTAAGTATGCATTTACATGTGTGTCTGAGCTCATTAAAATTGTTAATTGCAGAGGAAAGTTCATCATTCTTGCTTTATTAATAACAGGCCAGTACAGTTTTCCATGCTCACTTGAAGCTTCTGTTGATGTCTGTAGCTGTTTAGAGTGTGCCTAGAATGCAGAATCAGGTCCCCTTGAAATATTTTGCATATAAATTAAGTTGCTTTGCTTCATTTAATTGGCTGATTTGGCTTTATTGCACTAGTGCAAATCCACTGATAATATAGAATTTTGTTGGATTAACACTGGAATACCTGGCACCAACTTTTTACCATATATTTAGCAACCTTATGCAAAATTATGATTTTAGTAATCCATGTTTTATAATGAAACAAGAAAAATGCAATACGATTAATTCCTTCAATAATTACTAGCCAAATAAGGCTTTTTATTTTAGACAAAAGACCAATGGTAACTGCTTCAGTGGTGGAAAAATTTTTCAAGGTTTAAAAAAATTAACCTTATTTGAAAGAGGTGATGATTTCAGCAGAAAACATCTAGTTCCATCAGGCATGGGTGCACTATAGCAAGATAAAAGTGTAATGTTTCAAGAAGTTTATTTCTTTGTTTTTTGTTTTTTTTTTTTTATAAAATGATGCTCCAAAATACCTATAAAACCCAAGAAGTTTTAGAAACAGTTAATTAGATACTTTATTTTTGTTATGAGCTACCTATTTTTTTCTCCCTTGGCATTAGAGAGTATCATATTGCAGAATAATGCCTATAGAGTGATTAATAATAGGTGCCACCATTTTCATTATATCAAATCTATCCACCCATCTTCTCCCCCCAGAGGAATACCAGATGACTAGTCAACCTCTAAAATTCCGATAAATGTTTACCTGGTATCTAAAATTTCATGGTTATTCCCACTGATGGAACCTTGGAAAGTGAGACACGAATCAATACCACTCAGAAAGCCTACATATGTGCTACCTTTACAGTTACGTAGTTGACTCATAGTAATTTTCTCATCCTGCATGCCTCCAGTAAATATTCTTATTGAACCCCATAATTCAACCTTTTAGGTGTAGCTTCTTGTTTCTGCAAAGAGATCATTGCACATGGGTTTTCTCTAAACTTGTAAATACAAGTCTCTACCGAGAAAGGTTCCTATTCTGTATCTGGATTAACATCCCTTTAGTTCCAAAGAAAACAGGTACAGATTTTATTGTCAAACTAAAGCCTTCCCATTCTATACAATGGCATAATAAATATCTTTTCCTCCTTCAGAGATCTTTTCATAATTTGACCCATTAACTGAGAACGTCAATTTGTTCTTTATAAAATACACCAGAAAAGAAAAGCACGTGTAGAAGAACAGTGAACTGCTCTCTGCTTGTTTAATCATTTTTTGTGATTTGTTTGTAATTCTACAAAGCTCACAAAGTGGTTTTTTGGACTTGCACTCTTACAGCAGTGCTGTATAGTTTTGTGTCTCAGACCTACATGCAACTGGTACAGAAGTAATCAGCAGTGGAAAACAATGACCCTCTTGAGAGCACTATGTGACCGTATGTTCTCATGTCCAAAGAAAGGCAAAAAGTGCCCTGTCGGTGTCTCAGGGCAGACTGAACTCACTGAAGGCTGTTAAATCCTGGTTTGAACTGAGGACTGTGCTTACTTGTTTTGCATTATATAACCAATACTGGCTAACTTTTCTTTCACGTATTGATGAACAAAAACTGCTGCTAGAACCTGAAGTTTGGTATGAGGCAAGGGATTATTTATTTAACATCAGTGTGGTGTCTGCAAATTTGTAGGGCATTGTAGACTGTGACTTTATATCAATTGCATTGCAGTACAGGTAGTAAGGAAGTGATAAAGCAGTGTTCAAACACTGTACACTTTGTACAGTTTGTGTTGTCCCCCTCCCCCCCCTTAAACCACAGTAGTCAAGCAATGTCTTATTTGATACATCCATTAATCAAGTACAGTGCACAGTTAGTAATTGCTTTGTTTTTGTGTTTGCTTCTTTCCTAGGTTTCTTGGTGTTACGCAGTTTTCTCCTACTCATGCCAGAAAAGCCTTTCCTTGCTTTGATGAGCCCATCTACAAGGCCACTTTCAAAATCAGCATCAGGCATCAAGCAACTTACTTATCTTTGTCCAACATGCCAGTTGAAACTTCTGTTTTTGAAGAAGATGGATGGGTTACAGATCACTTTTCACAGACCCCTCTCATGTCCACGTATTACCTAGCTTGGGCAGTGTGCAATTTTACATACCGTGAAACTGTCACCAAGAGTGGAGTAGTTGTAAGTATTGCTAATGTTCTATCAAATATGTTTCATTATTTTGAAAACTCTCACTTTTTGTGAGTGATCATAACATCAAGTACTAAAGTATTTTCTTGATTAGCATTCCTAAAATTTGCCAGTGTATTTAATGATGGCGTGTATTGTTTGGGACCTTTTCTGAAGGTTTGTCTAACATTTTTGGTTTGTCTGGTTAGCTCAGTAGGTGTGGTTGTCTGATATTTGAAGCTTTTAAATATGCCATTTCATTTCACTTTGATTTTCTTGGGAAGTTTTCTCCTGTTTTTCCTGTAGCCTTTTCAATACCAGTATTTGTGGGACTATTTATTAGAAGAAAGTAGTAATACTGGCAGGGTTTTCAGTCTCCTTCCTTCAGTACTGACATGTCCCCTGGTGTGCTGTGTGCTAGCTCAGGTGGCTGATAAATAATTCCTATCTTAGATCTCTTGCTAAGGAGCAGGCCTTTACAACCTATCAGCTTCCTGTGGAGGTCCAGGTTGATGGAAGGACTCACTTTCTGGAGCTGTTGTTTCCAAATATGGCATGATTCCAGGAGTTATGCCATGGAAAAAAGAGATAAAATCCTTTATTTATGTCAGTTTTGTTTTTATTTACAAGTATCAAGCTCAGAACTGTATAACAAGCCAAAACATACATGAGAAATGCTATCAGCTTAGTAGAATACTTCACCACGCTGTCATCTTGATTTTTCAGGTGAGCGTACAGAGAAACCCTTCCTTTTTAGTTAGTGATTAACAAAACAGAGCTAGTTTTGGAAGCAGAACGCTAGGCAGCAGTTTAAGCTGTGTGCCTGAGCAAAGGGGGTGTTTACCTTATACTTCTGCAAATGCTCTATAACTGTGCTGTAGCCTGGGGGCATGAGGAAGGACTGTAGGCCTCCCTTCCTTGGCTGATGAGGTCAGGAAGCACCTCCAGAACCACTTTTGGCTAGCCTAAGCATCAAGCTGCTGTGGAGGGAGCTGATCCCACCTGCTCTGAGCCAGAGGTTTTCTTTGCCTTTGTGCGCCAGCCCTCAGCTCTGTACAGCTGTATGATCTGTCTGAAAACTGACCTGAAAAAATAAATGAAAATGTGGTGAGTTTTCAACCAAACCAGTTCTCTGATCCAGCTTTTTGTGTGACTGCCAGAGTCCTAGTACAGATTCAAGTCTGTGCTGTAGATGAGGGAAGGTGGACCCAGACAGTCTTCTGCATTGGCATCCCTCACTGAGGCCATACTGAAGTGATCGGGAAATAAGGCTTGTTTTTTGTCACTGGGACAGCTGGGTAGGACACTGGGGAGCCCTTCACTCCTCTCCAGCCCTTTCATACCATGGCCAGCAGACTATGACACTACCCTCTGGTCCTGCAATAGAGGAGGAGGAAGCATGGCTAGGAAGTGGTTCTCTGAGGCGCTTTAACCTATGAGTGTAAGGATGTGGGAACTGCTGAGGCCATGCTTGCAGTCCTAGTGGTTACCTGCAGTGGCTGAAAGCCTTTGGGTTTGGTGGTGTTTTTTTTTATTTTCTTTTTGTTCTGGTTTTGTTTTGTTTTTTGGGCAGGTTGTTTCTCTGTCAGTTCAGTGAGTTGAGTTAATTTAGAAAAGGATCTCACAAATACCAGGGCAAAGAAGTAAGGAGGGAGAGGTGGATGCCTGGTTCTTAGTGTTGCTACCAGCAGATTAATTACCTGGGCAAGAGGGATTGCTCTTGGGATGACAAATTGGTTGCCTCTGGTCAGAGGAGCGTTCACTGGCCTAGTAGAACAGGCTGAGACATCAGGCCACTTCTTACTCTCTATTAACCAGTACTGAAACAGACTTCTATCTAAGTAGGAGTTGATGATTTTCATTGTAATGTACTCCACCTGCTGAAGGATTTGGTCTTAAACTAAGAACAGTCTGGTATTTTCAGCTTTAGAAAACACTGGTTACTTGAGATTCTCCTTTAGCTCTAATAAGATGGAAGTTTTTGGTGTATACTCTAGTAGGGAGGTCTTGTGTTCCTTGTGCTCTAATATAGTGTAACACTTGCAAGTTTGTCATATATAATACTACCCTCTTATCTCACTTTGAAGTGTCCTAGGCTCATCTGAGAAACAGCTGCAAGCAGTAGCTTCCAACGTCAGTGTAAGCAAATATGTGCAGCATGGGGGATGGACCTCAGACCATCAGTTTGAAAGATACAGCCTACTTCCTCTTTAATTCAAGGAGAATCTCATTTTCTTGTAGTGTTATTCAGAGCTCATATGCTGTAGACTTTTGCTGCTTGAGTAGGTTCGATACTCTGAAGACAGATGCATACTCATGTCTTATAGACAATAATTGATAGCTTTCTGCTGTTTTCATGTTTGGCAGAACTGTTCTCAAGACGTTAGGTTTAACAGGAATTGAAGAGAAAATCCAAGTATTAATTTGTTAGGAATTTGTGGCTACTAGAGCCTGATAGTTTTGCTTGAGTCTGTTGGTTCAAAGCATGTAGGACATACATACCTATACTGCACTGCCTTACCTGTACCGCTACACAGAACTTTGCCAACAGTTACGCAAGTCAGTGGGTAATCTTTGCAAGGACCTGAAGACCAAAAGCCTGCATAGATTGGGATAGTTTCTTACCCCCTAAAATTGTTAGTCTAGAGTTTTAGCTCCTGTTTTTTTATAATGCCCCTATCAGAGAGGGATATTAATGCTCAGGAATACCAAATAGTTTACACTGAGTTATTGGTTAAATATATCTTGCTATTTTTCAGTCCATTTGTGATCTGATCATCTTTAATTGTTTTTCAGTTTTGTTGAAAGAGTATCTTTTAAGGTATGAATTCATGGCAAACGCTTCCGTTCAGAGCTGTGATCATTCAGCTGATTTGCTGAGGTAATCTATCTTTTTGAGTCTGTTATATTGCAGTACCAGGAGTCCATGGATGCTACTGGGTGAATTTGAAATCACCTGAATCCTGGCACATGCAATTCTGAACTTCTTGGTTTCCTCTGAAGCCACTTGTTCACTAAAACTTGGTTGCTTCCATATCCATGGCAATGAATGTAAATGTATGATAAAAGTAAATTTGCTTCTAAAAATGAATGAATGTTCAGGAAAATAAACCGAACCTCCATATTGAATCATCTTGATAGGCCATTTCTTTTTTTTTGGGGTGGGAAATCATCCTTCAATTAATGCAACTTATATTGCATTTTTTTTGTAGACATATAGTAGACACCTAAAAGACTTCAGCTTGCATATACTTCTGCTTTTGTTTTGGCACTTTCATGAACCTGGTTTTGGCTCACAAAACATTTGGGGAGGGGAGGGCTGTCTGGTCAAATTTTGACAGCATGTTAACGATTAAAATCTCACCTCTCTTCCAGCTGAGTGATCTTACTAAAGTGCTATGGTCAAGGGTGGATAAACTCCCAGAGGAATAGGAGAAACAGTGGGCTTAAAAGCAAGTTTGTTTCTCAAAAACAGTTATCTGTTCAGTTTTTCTGAAAGAATGATATCGACCTCAAAATTAATTTGAACCCGAGTGTGAGATTCAGTACTGATCAAGCTATAAACAGAAACTGACTTTTGGAAAGCTTAGGTAGCCAATCAAAATAATAATTTTGATATATCCTATATAATTCTTGCAGACATGAAGATGTGCTATATTTCATACACTAAAATTAATTTGCAAAGGGGAATTAAGACAAGCTGTGCTTTTCTAGGAGCACAGCTTAGTGAATGTGAATCATTAGCATACCTCTTTAGTCCATATGGGTCTGATCAGAATCCTTTCCAGAGCAGGTAATTTAAAAGCAGAGTTGACTTTTTATATGCATTACAGATATATAGTATGTTGTTCAGATTTATCTGGGATTACAGGAAATCACTGCAACTGCCTTTGCCTTTGGGCAGGGGCTTGACTCCTGTGGACAGGACTGCGGTGCAGTGATCTATGCTGCTGCGGACGAGGGAGCAGTATAGTTCTACCAGGGTGCTGCCTGAGGTAATGCTGTGCTGAGGGAGGAGGGATGCCCTTAGGAGCAGGCTTAGCTGATCCCTGTATGGCCCTAGCAGTTGTGCCAGCTGTGGTTGGTGAAAATCATCTTTGCATAGTACAATAATCCATAAAACTCCACTTACCTCATGGTTGCTTGCTTCTACCTGTATGTTGTGTTTCCTAGTCATACCTCTTAAGTATATTCTTTGTCAGTAATTCTTAAAAGCAAAATATTGCTGGCTGGATTGAAATGTCTGTCACATCATCGCTCTGTCTCTTTCCTTCATTGTTGTCTTTATCTGTGCTTTCAATCCACCAGGCCTTTTTCTACTATTGTTACTTTATTTTTCCCCTGTCTGGATTTATTTTTACTGTACTTCATGTTTAGCTGTACTTCTATTCTACAAACCCTCTGTTTCTCATTCCTTTGTCAGGTGGACATGGAAACTCATATCTCTCAAACTATATCCTGCATGCCTTCTCACTGCCTCATAAGTTATTTTAATTCCTTTTTTTTCCCCTGCTAATTCTATCTTTTTAGTTAGTGGAATGAGTGAGTGCTGAGGGACAAAGCACAATATATTAGTGGAGATGAATGCATTGCTGGAACGAGATGTTTCAGGGAGATTCATCTTCTACCATTCTTGCCTTTTGTTGTGGATGGGGTGCGGAGATAGATATGGAAATAAAGCACCAACTGGCAGCTTTAAAGTGTTTGGCCCTTGTCAGGGGGAGTATCTGCTAAAAAGAAAGTGCGTGGAAAGGAGTGGAGTCAGGAGGAATTGTGGGCGCAGGGGTTATAAGACCAAGCGCAGGCAGCGCCAGAGCAGATGGGAGTGAGCAGCAGTGGAAGGAAGTGGCTATCTGGCTGGGTGGTGGTGAGTGGGAGGAGGAATGCTGATGGAAGGCAGTGCTGAAAGAAGAATTTTGCGTGGTTTCACTTTTGCTACTCCAGCTCCTATTCCAAAATGGCTGCAGCATATGTTGCAGGACTGGCAGTGTGTGGGCTTGACCACGGCTTGA